AGTTAGTAAAAGCATTAATTAATTAATTGGGTATTAAAAAGCATTGAATATAATTATGTTCGCAGATGCAGAATAAGTTTAAACGCGCTTAATATACATAATAATATAATAATAATGTAATACGAATATATTGTATACGTAACACGAAAAATACTTTTCTGTATTGTAGTTTTACATCTTACCACTCATTGTCTTAATACATGATGATATGCTCTTTTAAACTTGAAAAAGTAAGATGTGCTTACCAAATGACAAATTCTCTTCAAAAATGATGAGGCCGTCGTGAAAAAATTCTGTTTACCATGCCACTGATCATGTTTGTCGGAATCCCGGTGAATTTAATTTTCGCGAACGATGCATTTCGCGCGCGTGAATTACGAGTCTTGTATCACATACACGTTCCACGTATATCCAAACGTCCATCAGCGATGCGATGCTTCATAAACAGCAAAATCCAAACGCGATGGCCCGCGGAAAAAATCGGTATGTTCCTTTCATATGTACGTCGAAACGTATCGGTGATATCTGTTCCGCAGTATCCGCCCATTCTACTACGGGTCCCCCATATGGCGCGCCGACTCGCCGACAGCAGACTGTTTGCGCTGTTAATAACGCGCGTTAATCGCTAATTACACATCGTCTTAATTATCGGCTCGTTGTCCGGGACGGGCGTATAAATAGCTATAGCGGAAAGCGGGTGAGCGTATTGACGTGTGCGACGACGAACTCTATCTACCGATACCGAGGCCTCGACCGCGAGATTACTATTGTTCAGGATAATACTATTGACTTATCACGTTTAAATTATATGATTTATATTTGGCTTTCTAACATAAATAAACATTAATGTATTAGTTAGTGTATCTATTGCACAGATATTCAAGAAAATACAGTTAATACAATGTTTTTTATAATCTATCAAATGTAGGCATTTATCGCAGTATAACATTCCTGGACGTTCTGACTATGCGATGGAGAGTAATATATTCTATTTATCTCTCTTATATTCTCTTTTCATGCAAATTTTATACCATTTAAAATTCTACAGAAATTTTAAGTAAATTATCATTTTAATTTTAATAAATTTTTGATTATATATTTATTTTTCTATTTATTATAAACTTAATAATATAATGTAATTGATATAATTTAAAGTTCATATTTTTTTTAAATGCGTTTACATATAAATGTAATGTATAATTTTCTATACAGTGCATTAAAGAATACGTTATATTAGGCTACAACTTTTGCAATTTATAATAAAAATAGTTTTGAAAAAAATAATCATATTTACATAATTTTTTCATTTCCGATATTTTTTCAAAGTTATATCTGGTATTAATATATTTTTAATAACAATTTTGGAAAATTGATACTCTTAGAGATGCAAAGTTATGTATTTATACAGGTGGTCATTTCTGATCACAACAATCGTAAGCCGTCGAAGCCGAGATTGTGTAAACACGACTACAGATTAAGCAGACGAATGCGGCGCCACCGTAACGCTGACGCAACATGTAAAGGGGTAATAAACGAGGTGGATATGTCTCGCGCGCGCAAAACCGAACATCGTATCATCTCGATCTTTATTGCAAACACGGACAAATTTATTCAAACTGATTAGAATCGAAATGTATCGACATTTATAACATACAAAAATGTTCTAAACAATATTTATCGTTATTTAAAGAAAGAAAAATAATTTTGAAACACAGCAATGAATCAAACATTTTAATATATCCCACTTTCAACTGACATCATACTTACTGTATATGTGTACGTTATAAGCTGCAATTAATAAATATTTTTAAATCGCTTTATTAAATAGCGACTTCCTCTTTTCATACTGAAACGGGAACCGAGAGGAATTCAGGCAATGCTGGAAGGCCGATACTGAGAAAGGCGAGGAGCTCGCGGACCGGCTCCAAGTAAAACGATGTGTGTGTGTGTGTGTGTGTGTGAAGACAAAAATAAAAACCAAAATAAACGAAATCGAAAAGGACGAGTACGCGGAAGAGAGCAGGGGAAGAGAAAGAGAGAGAGAGAGAGAGAGAGAGAAGGTTCGCAAAATCACTGTGGGCCCCGAGGTGGACGACGCGCGCAGGGCAATAAATATCATGCGATTAGATCTCCGATGCTGCCGCTGTTGGGGTTGGTTACGAACGGAGGGAGCAACTATTAATCACTCCATGTTAATCAAGCCAGCCGCTAAGTAGGCCGCGCCGCAGCATTAAAGTGCACTGCCACGCATCGTATTGGCGTGCCAACGAGACACGCATACATATATGCGCGCTTCAAGCGCGGTACATAGGCTAGAGGAGACGGAATTAGAGGTAAGAGAGAGGAGGATACAGAGAAAGATGGAGAGAGAAACTAAGCTCGAGCTCACACGGGTCTCGTGTGTGAATTAGCTTTCAGCCTCCTATTATTCGACTTCGAGAGATCCCTACCTTAAAAGATCTGTACCTATCTACCTACCGCATAGCACGCGCGCGTTCCTTCTCATTTTTGAGGAATTAATCGAGACTAATTACCACGTCGGACGAGAAAGAGTTCGTTTTGCCGGTCCCTCCGGCAGTGAATTATAGTATTTAATCTCCACGAAAAATAGATGAATTAAAAGAAATTCGTAGAAATTTATTTTGCGAAATTATGAATTTCTCTCCAAAAATAAGATCGATATTTTTTTCTACTTTATTTCTATTTATCTGGATTATAATAATTAAAAAATAATAAAAAATTTATTAATAAAAATTAATATACGTACAAATGTTTTCTTTTAATTATTTATACAATTTATAACTATATATATTAAACAATTTTTGAACTAATTATTTGTAAAGAATATAGGATAAACTAGTTAAAAATTTTTAATTTTTTTTATCAGAAAATAAACTCAATTTCGCAAAATATATTATTGCAAATTTCTTTTAATCTATCTACTTTTTTCTAATTGTTTTATTTTGCAATTCATTATTGATGCTATCAGATATCTATGATTTTAGAATTTCTGATAGATCGCAACTTTCAATAAAATGTAAAAGAACTGATCACAAAAGAGAAAACTAAAGAAGGAAAGAGAAACAGAAAGGTCTTTATGGACTTGTTTGTCCTCTGCGGATTTTTACGAATTATTTGAGAAGTTCCGTCGAGACGCATCCGAAAGATCGTTTCGGACAATCACACGGTAGTTAGATCATGCAATCTCCTCATTTGCAGTAACCGTGCATCGCTTACGATTCTAGTATAATAGAAATTTCCATGAATATTTTAAATCTTGACTCAATTCAACACTTATTTAACAATCATCTAATTAAATCATAATCGATTATACTATGTTATATTTTTTATATGAAAATTTTAAAAATTTTAAAAACATTAAAAAGTCTGTAATTATGTGTGTCCAAAACTTTTTGTAAATAATTATGACATAAATAATAATAACCCACATTTTTTTATTATTAACTCAGACAGATTTGCTCCACATGGACTCTCATATGCTGTTCCACTTTCAAACCCTCTTTCTTATCCGATCCTTACCAATTCTCATGTCACGAATCTCCTCTCTTCTGCTTAAAATAGAGTTTATACAAACACCGATCTCTGTGTTTCCCGGTTAAACTCCGCTTCTGCTATCCCCCTCCGATCTGATCGACCAGCGTCCGGCGCGGGCCGAAACAAGGCGGGTAGTCGCGCGAGCAGCACGAGACGAGGGCGAGGTAGACGACGTTGTACAAAAGTAAATAAAGTCTCTCAAAAGACTGAGAAAATATGTCGATAAATCTAATGTCTAACTGAGATAGGTATTGAGCACCGGGAAAATAATTGTCTCGCGTGCGCAGCTGCATTCAACGATCGAGATGGACGATTATTTCTCGTGGCGCCAGTAGCCCGCACCAGAAGTTACTTTCGGATTGTCTCCCGTGAGAGCAGGGATCGTGGCGAGAAGGGCGACGATCTTTCCACCTCTGAGAAAGTTTTCGAATTCCTTCTATCCACGACGACCTCTTTTCATCGTCGTCATCATCGTTCCCTCCCCCATTCCCCTCCTCTCTCTCTCCCTCTTGTTACTTCTCGACATTTACATTCAAAGTGTGCCTGCATTAAGATTATGAGTATAACTCAGGCCATAGTATTGATTTAACTAAACCTAATAATTCACGAGTTGTATTCTATTCTATTATTCCGAATGTAAATAAACAATCCGAGACCGCAAAAAGAAAATATAATTTTAATTAAAATTAAATAAAGTTTGTTTCTTTAATAATATTCAGATATATCAAATATGTATATTTCAGGTCCAAATTTATTAATCTCTTTATCTATCCGTCAAAGAAAGATGTATTATTTATAAAGATATATTGTTACCTAAAAATTATATTTCAATATGCATCAATTAAGATACAAGATATTCCGTTTACTATTGATTCTTGGCAATACGCCAAAATGCACTACCTGTCATTACAAGTAGGATAACGTGCATCTGTGATCGAGGGAGAAGTGATATGCCAATTAAATACCCATAAGCACGCTTAATTTATGCCCCTTCTATCATCAAGTCTCACTTTTAAGGCCGCCGGGTAAAATTCTCAAACTCTAAGGCGTTACTCACGTGTGACGCGTGCAATTTCTCGTGGAATTATTCCACGCACGCCAACGGCAGTTCGTGATATATGGCCAAGCGCGCGCGAGACGTGTCCCTCCTACACACGTGACCCCTGACTCCGGTCCGAATATTGAATCACTTTAATATCTTGGAACGAGATACACGATGTGCACGACCAGTCATGGCTCGTCCCAATCTTCCAAGCGTACGTTCAATTACGTTCGTGCCACGTGCGTACCTGCCTATGTAATCTTAGCAACGACATCAAACTATCAAGCTACTTTACCACCCAGTATCCTTATAAAACATTTATCGGACACTCGTGCTAGTGAGCATGAAGTAATTCCCTCGAGAACAAATTTAAAACGATCTATATATAATAATTATCACTCACCGTTATGATGCGCAACAGCGGAGTTGTAGTACATTATGTTGCATCTGTAAAATACACAAATATATATCCAGATTATATATAATGTCCAAAAAAATTAATAATTTCAAAAATAATAATTGTGTACAATTATTTTTTTCAGTTGTCTTTTAAACAAATATTTAATAAAAATCATATAATTTTTGAAAAATATTATTTTAATTACAAACTTTTAAAACATACAATAGATAAAAATCTGATTTTTATATAGATATAATCTGAGCAATTATAAATTTAAAATAAATAAAGTAAAAATATTTTCTCTTATAAAATATTTTAAGTAAATATTAATAATTCTAAAAATATTTTTTTTGAATGTTGTAAAATCTAAAATATTTTTTGTGCGTTGTATTACAGAATAACGCAAAATGGATTATTACCGCGAAGATAAAAGCAAGCAATTAATTTTAATAATAAATAAGTTACTCACTCAATGGTTGCTCCGCCGTTGCCCGATGCCATCCAGGCCTCCTCCTCCTCTCTTATCCTTCATAGCATTCACAAAATAATCACTCGCGAAAATACTATTAATTACACGCGCATGATCGTGATTATCAATAAAATATCTCAATTGCGCGAACATTGCACGACACTTTCAACGTTATTCGAACAGGGCGCACACTTTACATTGCGAATTGCGACGAGAGAATGGAGTGAAAATTATCATTTATAATTGAATATCCTGCAGCCAAATTCACGCCTCGCTACGGAAGCATAACCTCATAATGATCAATAATATATGTTCATATTATAACATAAGTGAGCAATACATGTTTTAATCAATTATAACGATGTAAATGCGTTTCGACACTCGATCAAATTCGATCTATTATATATTTGCAACATTTCGTCTATGAAAAATTTGAGAGTGACAGCAATAATGTGACCCTGATACTGTATATGATACAGCATACACAGTCAAACATTAATTAAAACGCGCGACGAAATATCAAAAAATACATAATTGTAATTCAATATTACACGCGCAATATATTTCACACGAGTAAATATCGCGGAATATATTACTAACGCTCGACATATCACGACTTTTTGTTACTTCGATCACTCCATCCGCGATTCGTGTAGTACTACGTTTCGTTTCATACCTGAATATAAATCGCGTGAAATACCTGCTTTGATGAATAACCGTTATCTCGACACATTTAGGAGTCATTAATCGCAACAATTAATTAATCGCCCGGTTTGATATTCGTTAATTGTGTAATAGGAAATGATTACTTTTCAAGATTTAATACGACGACACACACGGAGCGCGACGCGCCGTGGCTTCCCTACTCGAGTCTCGTCGCGCGAATGACAAGGCCACCGCGCGGAATGTAAACACAACGCGCTGTGTTTACATACCTTAGCCTTGAATACTAAACATCGTATAACTCGTGATATTTTATCAATATTATGAAATATTTAACGCTCAATAGAGATTCAATAGATATTTTGCACGATTTATATAATACTAAAATACGAACCGAAGCTAATAATATATAATATTGTGTGTGTAAAATAATATTAAATTTCTATTTTGTATATTTTTTGAAACGTATCTTAATTAATCATTGATTCGAGTCGCAATCATATCGCAAAGTATCAAGCTCAAATTGTCAATATCTAATTTTTCAATTATTGCCGAAATATCGCAGCTATACATCGGAATGAATGAATTCCAATCGAGCAGCATTACGACGCCCGTAACTGATAAGTACAATCATTATTATATATTATTTTTGTCAATCGCGTATTATATATAAATTCGGTTTTGTAATTTATCATTGTAATTTATCAAAACGTATTTCGCAAGTTTTATTAACTATCAAAATCTGTCGTACAAACCAAAGTCGATAAACTTATAAAATTACGAATATTATTATCTACAAATATTTATCTTTAATTTTATATATCTTTTCATTTATTTTATACTGCCAGCATATATTATTTATTATCAGAAGTTGTATTGCAAGGTGTGAATTTTTACGATTTTCGAATGAAAATCCTAATTCTCCTCTTGTTCTCTTGTCGCAATAAAGTGCGCATCGCGTTCAATTAATATCAGGAGGGTGGTATAACGTTCAACATGATCGACATGTTCTGTTTATAATTACGATCGTGCGCGCGTAATCATAATTAACTGCGTTTTCGCGAGTTTTGTGAGCACCATAAAGGAGCAGCAAAAGATAAGAGAGGAGGAGGAGGTATCGAACAACGGTGGAGCAACCGTTGAGAATGAATATTGCTCATAACTTATTTATTATTAAAATTAGATGTTCGTTTTTTTATCTCCACAGTAATGATCCATTTTACATTATTTTAATATAATGTAAAATGCAATGAAATATAATGTATATAAAATATTTGAAATATTATTAATATATGTTTAAATTATTCGTAATAATAATAATATATATATATATATATATATATATTATTGTTAAAATTGCTTAGATTATAAAATTTAGATTTTGTATTTTTATTATCTTTTTTTTTTAATAAATTTTTTTCAAAAACAATTTTTTTATTGAATATTTGTTTAAAAGACAACTAAAAAAAATTGCGCACAATTATTATTTCTTAAAGTCATTTTGGACTTTATTTTAATTTCAATGTATTTGTATTTTACAGATCAGCATAATATATTACAACTCCATTCATATCATGCCGATGATATTATTTATAGTGTGTATAAGAAATAATGAAAGATTCAAAAGATTAAAATCTTTCTTTATCAGTATATAAAAACTTGAATTATATTATTTATGTTCTTATGAATTGCTTAATATATTTAAATTTATTGTTATAAATATATATTTTTATAAATAAAAATATTTTTATATATAAAAAATTATAAATTAATAATCAATTTATTATAAAAATTGAAAATTTTATAATAAATTAAATCAAAATTAGTAAAAATATTTTATGAGTAAATATAATATTTTATAATCCGAAATCTTCTCTCATACATGCGTATATATATGAAAAATTGTTAGCGGTCATACCTGTTTTTTGTATTAAGAATGCAAATAGTGTGGCATTCTCTTCGATGTTCCGCATATAAAAAAAAATAGTTTTTATAAGAATCAAGGCTGAAAAGAACTCGTTATAGATCGAAATTTGCATGCGTACATATATAAACGTGCACGAGTATTTATTTATAAACAGTCTGTTCCGGATTTTAATTATTAGCAAATTATTTTTCCATCAATTTGTGATAATTTTATCAAATTATACGTAACAAAATTTCGCAAGCAGGTTTGCTCAGTGAATTAGCGTATTAGAGAATTTTTTCTTTTCGTTCCTTTTTGCCAAAATGCTGCAAATTCAATAAGTGAATCTTGCTCTAAACATTAATTTTAAAATTATATTTCAGGTTAATATATGTATGTAAATAAATCTAGATTTTTTTTTCAAATACAAGGATATAAAGAAACTTTCGTAAATTTAATCATTATAGTGCATATCTCTTATATCTAAATGCACACATTTTATTTAAAATTGTACATAGAGTTACTGTCTGTTCTACTGTGTCCATTCTGTTTCCATATCTTTTGATTTTTTGACAATTCACTAATTGACTTAAATAATGATGTGTGCGGATTTGCAATTTGCATAAAATAAACCAAAAATATCAAATATTTAAACTGAATATTCTTAATAATGTCGGATCTCATAAAAAATTAAAGACATAAAATGATACTTAATTTATAGATATATTATACCATTTATAGTATAGTAACTTTAAAGTGAGTCGTAAGCAGTGAAACATAAATTCTTTCTATACGTAATATTTCACTTTCCCATTGAGAATAAAGATTGCATATAAACAAGATAACAAATATTCCCAGCGAACTTCTGTTGCAATCTCATGATGCTGAATGTCTCTCTCTAACAAATAATCCTAATCAATTTTAAAATAATTGAAAGTATGTAATTTAATCAGCTAATAAAATAAAAATTAAATGTAAACACGGTTATTAATAACTTAACATATAAAATTTACGCGCATGTTGCTTTTTTTATTAAATGTGTCTCGATATGCGTGTAAATTCATATGTTAAAGGATTAATAACATCGTTTATAAATAGTATATGCATGCACATATGCACATACTAATATTTATTATCTTTATAGAACAGCTTTTTATAAAACACTGATCTACGAACATACTTTTTTTGGGAACGTTGATTTTACAAAAAGTTTGCACACAACATACATATACATATATGCATCCATATACATGAACGCGCGCGCGCGCGTCATAAGTATATATGTGTATATATGTACGTAAATCATAAAATAAAGTAGTACTACTAGTCATAAGATTTCCGACAAAGTGTGTTCACTCATCAATGACTCATATAAAATACAAAGTAAAATAAAAAATCTTAGCAAGAAGTATACGTGTTAGTGATATCGAGTAGATGTAGCACGTTACAGTTCACACACAATTCGGATCTGTTCGAACTTTGTCCAAATTAAACAATAATCAATTCGTCGCGCAAATTGAATCATACGACGACCATATCATACTTGTCACAAAAAGCAGCATCTTTGCCGCTCGTCACAAAGTTCTTTGCAGATTTGTCAATCTGAGCATTAATGTTACACGGAAAATCGTACGTTTAAGTATCATCGTATTCCTAACGAATACATGGTCACTTGGTTTGATTAAATCGTCCCTTCGTTTGCCGTCGTGATTGCGTGGTAATCGAAGTCGTAAGTAAATTTTCCTCAAACGTATCCACGGTGAAGTCCTGCTCTTTATGTACTTTAGGCATGATTCTGCTGGCCGGTCCATTTCGCCTTAAGCGAATATTTATTGCGCGCTCCATGATACCGTTTCTAATTTGGTGCTTTTTTTTCTGCCCATGGAGCTGCTTAGCCGTTCTGGAAGGCAGAGGTGGCGGTGGCGGCGGCGGCATCTTTGGCGGCGGCATCTTCGGCGGCGGTAATCGTGCAGCTGGACCGACCGGCAATCGCGGTGGACCCGCCATTCTCGGCAGACCTGGCATACGCGGCGGAAAACCAGGATGCGGGAAACCCGGTCCGGGCGGGGTCGGCGGCATCGCCGGACGCATCGGCGGCGGTCCGTACCTGAACGGCCTAGGCCCGTAAAGCGGTGGGCCCATGGGTGGCGGAATAGGGGGCATACCAAGCGGAGGAGGCATCGGTCCAAATCCCGGCGGGGGGCCCGCGAATCTCTGAGGTGAAAACGGACCGCCGTTCGCGAAACTTCGACGAGACATCGCGTATCCCGACGGTCCCATCGATCGACCTGCCAGGTTTTTAAATGACAAGCGTGAATTCCTCTTGGTTGGAACTGCGGTAGGACTCTTCGACCTCAAAACGACTTTGCTCGTATCGATCCTTTTACCGCATTGAAGCTCTTTCAATGCGGTGAGATAAATGTCGCGTTCGATGGGATATCCGCGTGCGTCCCCAAAAGCTAAATACAGACAGAGAGAGTTTTCGTTTGGGCAATAAGCTTATCAATAGAACGATGCATATTTTTATGCAAAATATAAACTTATTGATTGTCATCGTCAACTAACCTATCTTAATGTTCAACGTATCTCTAATTATCATATTTCTGAATGAGAGACTTGTAGTGATAAACAAAAAAAATTATTATAGAAAAGAATAAGTTTTCGCAAGTTATAAAAACCTGATTTAAATAATGCAGAAGACAAATTAATTATGATTATTTGCATAACTTGCAAAAGAAAGACCAGTTTATGTATGTAAAATCATGGCCTACTATGTACATTGTACATATTATTTTCTTTCACAGACGAATATATGTATGTACGTAAAACAATATTTGCTTGATCCATAAATTTTTCATTGATAGTTTTTGACGGTTAATAATAATTATTTGTATAATTAAACAGGTGATTAAAATTATAATTATACCTCTTATCCATGAAATCCAATAATAATAAAACAATATGGCAAATAAATGTAACATCATATAAAGTAATGTAATTTTTTCAAATAATTACTTATAATCAAAAAATCGATTAAAATTATAATTACCTCAACCATAAAATCCGATAATAATAAAATTATATGGCAAGTAAATTTAATATAATATAACGTGATTTGGATAACATAATGTATAACATGAATTTTTCAAATAACATACCTTTTAAAGAATCTTGAATTACCCAGCCTAGCTGTTGAATGAGATATCTATAAAAAATGGTACCAAACACGTTTCAACACAACGGCTTTTCTGAGAATATTCCGTTATCCGATACTGATCACATAACAAATATATAAATATCACAAATATTATAAATTACCTCGATATAATGTTAGCACGAGATTCTAATTTGAATTCCGAATGCGAATATTCCGATATCCGATACTGATACATAACAAATATATAAATATCACAAATATTATAAATTACCTCGATATAATGTTAGCACGAGATTCTAATTTGAATTCCGAATGAGTTTCCAGATATTCAGATATAAATTAAGCAAGTGTATGGCAAATACTCAAGATTCGAATATTCAAAAATATTAAGATATATTTGAATATTTCAAGTAGCAGTAACAATATTAGTTAATAATTTTTAATTGATTAAAAGCACACGAGATATGAAATTAAATAATACTTACCTACAAATTAGATAACCGGTACGATTCACACCGTGTGTGCAATGGACTCCTATAAGTTCACCTGTAACAAAAAAATTATACCAGTTTTGTAATTTTAAATCTGATGGCATAAGCAGCGATATCATCTTTTAAGCAATAGCATTATTACAAATGACGTCTTAATTACGTTTTAATATAAGAAAAAGAAAAAACTCGCAGTTATAACTTTAAGTATCTGAACATTGCAGACGTTTCGCGTGCGCATTTTCTTTTTAAAATATATTTCATAAGTAATGGAGTATAACACATAATCTCGATAAAGTAATTATGCGGCGACGCAGATGAGAGTCCGGTCGGCGGGACACGCGATCGGTATCTCAAAAGTACTTTCGAGGCATCGAACGGCGGCGAGAAGGACGCGCAGAAATCGAAGAGATATTCGCTTACGAAAAAGGCGTGCAATAAGGACGCACCGACATACGATTCCACGGGTCATCAATTCGGCCTAGGGCGTGGGGTCAGCACGCGTGAAGTCAGCTCTCCGAGCCCAGCAAGGGGCTGATTATAATATTATCGCAAATTACCGGCAAAAACTGCGACGAATTCACGACGATTCGTGACTCCGTGGCTACAGCCAGCCGATCGATCGCGGCGGCATTTTCGCAAGAGCCGCAATTTTAATAAGAGTAGTTGACCAGCATAACGATCGAACGAACGCATCTACCGCCGCCTATCTCTTCTTCTTCTTGTATTTCCTCTACCACCGCCCTTCTCCCTTAACTTCGGCTTCGGTCTTCTTGCTTTCAACGAAGCGCGAACAAGCGAAGGATAAGTATCAAGTACTTTAGAGGCACTTCGTACCTCCTTACGGCTTTCAGTGTGAATTAAGTGGCCCATCGCGGGTCATGCGATACGCCGTTTGACCTCTGCGAGCCGCTTGACCGAACGAAGAATACATCGGTGTATCTCTTACAACGATACACAGCGCGAGTTATGTCCCTCTCTTTCTGGGACGCGGTACTGTACTATTCGTGAAGGACAATAACGCAAATATATGGAGACTCGAAATGGCGACGTGATAAGATTTTCCGTGAAAAAAATCATGATGAACAGTCTAATAAAACTGTTGACCGGAGCTATCTTCGATCTAACAGCATGTAGCATCCCAGAAAAAAGTATCGAGATAAAAGTATGCGAATGAGAAACGTGTTACTCGAGCGTAAATGCTGCTCCTTCGTAAAGAGATCTCGAATTATCATATATAAGAAAATAACAATGTGAGAATGTAATAGAAATCATTGTGTTTAACATAAATAGAACATAAATTGAAGAACTCATTAAAATTTAAAATAGAAAAGGTTATAAAAAGATATTTCTGTAAATTTACATATTTTACGGGCAAAATAGTGATCTCTCTGAAAAAAAAACATTTTATCATTTCTTTATTTAATTACTACTAAATAATTTAAAGAATTTCTCTAGTTTATATATATATATATATATACATATATAATTGTAGTATGTGATGAAAGTTTTTCTTTGATTCTGCACTTTTTTATTATTATTATTTTGGCATATATTCCGACGTTCATTACACTTTAGTGAATTGGAAAATAATACTGCACGTATTACAATACAATCACAATCCAAATAATCTAGAGATAATACATAAATCGCATATAATTCGATATTCTAATATATGTATTTATATGTATATGTGTATACATAATAAAATAAATTCGTTCCACGTCCGTATCTATCACGAGGTCATCTCAGGTTTGCATACGCCAGAAATTTACATCTTTTAGCGGACAAGAATCTCAGAACACGTCGGCATCTAATGTGAATCTAGAGCCGGCACCCCCGTGGTGAAGTAACCTTTATATCAACAAATAAACCGATCTTCAGCTACAAATTGTCGAAGACATACAACTTTTTGATATACATTAATACATATCATTTCTTCCAATGTTATCCCCTCTATATTTTCATAACAAAGAATTACGAATTTCATATTTAGGTAAATCACATAACATACAATATCGATCTTTAATTTATATAATAAATCTTTTTTTTTTAATACAAATAAATATTTCTACCGTAAAATTGTATTTTACCCTAAAACACATGTACTGATATTAAATAAAATAAAGATAAAGAAATTCTCCATGCAGAATTTTATTTATCGGAAATCTTCGGCATTTGAAAACGTGAAACTCACGAATTCGCACTTTACTCATGTATACGTATGTACATGTCGTACATTAGTATGAAATTACAACGACCGGAGAGAGATATTGCGAAAGTCTCTCAGGGCACCCTGCCGCTTAACAGTTGAAATCAAACGTTGCTCAACGGGAGCCGAAGCACGACGATGATAATAATGTTTACCGGTCGAAAATCAGACTTGTAGACTCAGCAATATCATTAATTAGGTATAAGCCCGCGATTAATTCGGTATATCTGCTTTATACTTTTACGATCATTTGCAAAGATACATTCTTTCCAGATCTACATTATAATATAATATAAAGATAAAATGCTCGCCTACAAATTTACGACAGAAATAATTAATATGGAAAATTAAATAAAAATTAATAAGTGGGCTTGAGGAGCAAATAGCGGAAGTCCGTACAATTAAGTCATAAAATTGTTTATTGTTTATTTTTTAATATCGAAAATTTACGAGATCTTTAAATATCGAGAAGTCGAAGAAATTTCGTTTATTAAATTTGTCGTTATATAAATTTGTTTCGTGTTCTGTTAAAAATTATAGATTTACGAGTAGTGTTTCCTATTTAAAAATATTTTGAAGAAAAGATAAAATTTAAATATGATCATTCATGAGAAAGATTTCAGTTATATGTTATCTTATTATATTTCAATGAAAGTTCCTTTTACATATAAGAAAAATGTGATTGGTTTTCCAAATTCAGAACAACGGCGTAAAAAACGGTATGTTTCGCTAAGGTAGAAGTTCACTACCATGATCTTTAATCCATCACGTTTAAAATAGCGCAAAACGAGGGAAAAAGAGTCGATTATCAAGCTCAAGTTCGTGTATGCTGAGGGTGGGCGGTTGCATGCAAATATTGTTTTCGTCCGTGCCCTCAAGATATCGCCAACGAAAAAATAAAAGACAAGACAATGTACCCGGAATTGAACGTGTCACTTTCAGTACGATACGAAGATTGGTTTTCGGGTTACTGGAGTAGTCGTGAAGTACGACTACCCGAAGCCATGCGGTAAATGTGGCAATATGATATACATGTGAGTAAGATACGTCGGCTCAAATAGCCCCTGGTGGATGCGAGATCCTGGTCGCCTCGTGCCGAGAACACGGGAAAGAGATCCTAGTAGCGCGAGAGCGAACTAAAAGCCCGTCGGAGATATATGTAAGAGCTGCTGAAACCAGGGAACGACGTTAACGTCCGGCGTACATAAACATGAAAATATCGCCGGCATGTTACTGCAAGTCTTTTCGGGCCGCCGATTACTGCCGTCTTAAATCAATCGAGCGCTCCAAGTTCGGCCGCACTGCGCATCGTATACGGAGCGTGTCGCGAAACGAAGAGTTCTGCGACTTAACGAAAGTAAATATTAATCCGGGCTCATGCAACAAAAATATAACTGATATTTTCGAAGTCCAACGATTTATAAATTTCAGATTTCAGAAATAATTAGATATCTATATCGAAATAATTCTTGTGATATATATTATAACTCGGTATAAATTAAATCTCTTAGAAAAAATTAAAAAAAAAATAAGAAACATTGAAACACGTAAGTCTAACACGCAATTTTAATTTTTATATGCATCAAAAATTTAACAAATTATCGAAGAGATATAAGAGTCATTTCTACGTGATCAACCGGCGTCTCGGCATTGGACATTGGATATACAGTATTGATAAATGCTAAGTGGTGGGCAACGAATGGGCAACGAAGCGGCTTCTTTTGCCTTGGAATGCGTCTCGACTCGTTCTTCGACGGACCGCTCCACCTCCCAGCTCAAGTTAGTCGATTCGTGAGTTTCCCACGTACAAATCTGATAGCTCTGTAAACCGCGATAACATAACGGAACGCGCTCATGCGATTTCTTCGGCGAGAATCTAGGACAATTACGTCCGTTTCACATTTTACAAAGTTCCCAAGGAGTTTTGAAAATTGTAAAAATTTCAAAAGTTTTAGATCTTGTACCTAGAACCTAAAAGAATATTCTACTAAAATAAATTTTTAATTTCAAGCATATTATCTGAAAGCTATTATAAAACGATTTTAAATCTTAGATACGTAGATTTAAGATATAAAGTACACACATGGACATAGCTAAGAAAATCAAACCTCGATTTTTAAATTGTACAATGAATTCCAATGCAACCTCATATATATAGATATGACTGGTCGTTTGGCATGAGAAAAAATGGAAGAACAGAGACGCAAGGAAGAGAAGAAAAGGAAAAAAGCGATAACGCGGATGTGAAGGAAGAGAAACGAGAATAGGAGGAGAAAAAGAAACGCTCAAGGGAACTTTCTTCTCTACTGGTTGATAAACGGCAGCAGATAATTAACAACGCCCCGGTATGTGTATTTCATGCGTGGGCGTCCTCGAATTCTGATCGGATTCGTTGGGATCGTCGCTGTTGTCGTCGTCCTTGTCGAATTGTTCTTCTCATCCGAAGCACAGAAGCCGGGCGAATATCGTACAACTGCGCGAGTAAAACAACCACCGGCTATTCTACATTCGTTCTCGCAACGTACAACACGATCGAACCGTAATCGAGGGAGTAAATTAGGAAAGGATACGCTCGTACAGTCGCGATCAGCAGTTTCGTTCACAAGCGAGGATACGAAATACCTACGACGATTCCTATCAATTATTCCTCGCCAAAAACACGGGTATCCGTGTTTCATATTCTTTTTTCTTTCGAAGATTATTAATACAAAATTTTTTAACAATTATTTCGGAGTGTGTTGTTAAACCTGATGCATTTTAGTTGGCGCCGATCAGATATGAGTCTTGTAACTTTCATCAGACATCTCAACGATACAATTATTCTCGATTAATGTATAAAACATTATATACTTGTTCAAGATTTTATAAGAAAGTTACTTCAGTCGCCGAGCCAAGAAATTTTGTTATAAAGATAGAGACTTGTATATAGTTGATAATAAAAAGTCGGCGAATATAATATTTTTGATGTAATGCAAACTCACCTTCACCGCATGTTGCCATGAAATCGTCCATCACTTTAAAGAATCTGCAAGGAAAGAGAGCAAAAATTTTTACTTTTAGCAAAGCAATCTGTGTCTTTTGTGATCTTATTTTTCAAAAAGATATTCGACATTACGAAAGAAAAGAATTCACTTTTCAACAATCAATTTAAATTTATGAAATGTTACGTGACCGGAGCCAGCTAAAAAAGCTTTCCTATAAAAAATGTGAATAATATGTATCATTGATATATGTGTGTTTGAAAGTGTTTTACATATCAAATATAATAGAAAAGGGCATTTAGAGCCAAGCGCGGTACGTGGTGCGCAAACTGTTTATTCTTAGTGATAAATTAATACCAATATAGATTTAACTTATCTCTAATGTTTATTTTTAATTTTTGTTTACCATTTTATACTCTAATGTTTTCCCAGTTTCTTATCATATTTTTATTTTTTGATATTTATTAAGTCATACATTGAGTTAATTAAAAATTAAAAATAGAGAACCGGAGGTCTCTCACATCTTCATGAACGTTGGTAATTCTTTCATGTCGTTGTGAAGGTAGTAACTAATTCTGTTGTTATGCCGAAAATCAGAGTCCGACTTGTAAAAACTCATATCTATACGTAATGTACCTGTGAGTTGAATAAGAAAGAAAGAAACAGATGTGAGAGAATCGCGCAGAATTACAAACTAGAAAACAATGGTGCAACTTACAACTATAAACGGCGTTCCACATGTTGTGCAAAAATATGAAATAGATGTAATTAAAACTATTGTGTAAATGTAGGAGACCGACTCACTAGCTATTGAAATGAGTAATGACATCGATCATGAACAATAAGGTGAAGAGAAGAATAAATAACATATGACGTGACAATAATAAAGATCAAAAAATAAAAATATGATAAGAAACTGGGAAAACATTAGAGTATAAAATGGTAAACAAAAATTAAAAATAAACATTAGAGATAAGTTAAATCTATATTGGTATTAATTTATCACTAAGAATAAACAGTTTGCGCACCACGTACCGCGCTTGGCTCTAAATGCCCTTTTCTATTATATTTGATATGTAAAACACTTTCAAACACACATATATCAATGATACATATTATTCACATTTTTTATAGGAAAGCTTTTTTAGCTGGCTCCGGTCACGTAACATTTCATAAATTTAAATTGATTGTTGAAAAGTGAATTCTTTTCTTTCGTAATGTCGAATATCTTTTTGAAAAATAAGATCACAAAAGACACAGATTGCTTTGCTAAAAACATTAGAGTATAAAATGGTAAACAAAAATTAAAAATAAACATCAGAGATAAGTTAAATCTATATTTGTATTAATTTATCACTAAGAATAAACAGTTTGCGCACCACGTACCGCGCTTGGCTCTAAATGCCCTTTTCTATTATATTTGATTTTAATCCAGAGAGCCTTTATCATTATTATGTTTTACGTATGTTTTTGTAATAATAATCAGTTCGTAAGATAGCTTATTACTAACGAGCATTAACATTCTTGCTACCTAATTATTTACACGGGGGAATAATTATTTTTATTTTGACTAAATAACATAATTAAATATTATTTTATCTTAAATATATATGATATATAATGTTACAAGCATGCATAATAATAGCACCGCCTTTGAGAAGACAGAAATTTCTCATTCCTCCTTTATTTGCTGTCTATAATTTTACGAATCAGCCAGCGCGACGGCGATCGAATTTCCATGGAGCCGATGAAAAAAGTAATCGGCTAAATAAATATTCAGATGACGGTAACCGGTCGAGCAAACCGGCAGTGTAATAAGTGTATGTAATAGGTATGCAGAAGCCGAGCGGCAAACGAAGGGGGTATGGTAATGAGACTTAAGAGCCGGGACGTTGCACATCCTGAGTTACGGGCGAGTGCAGCGAGTACGAGTCCTTTACACACGTCACGTAAGGGCGCTAAGAAGTTAAATCGATTCCGAATTATGTCATGAAAAC